AGTGGCGGGGTGAGAGCGGAAGGGCGCGGGTGAGTTGTAGCATTAGTCGATCTTCGACCACTGTAGGCACGAAGCCTGGACGTGGTTCTTCTGTGCGCACAAGACTGGTTTTCGCAACCTGATGGCGGCCGCCTCTGCTGTTGCTAACAGGCGCTGTCCCAGTGGTTTAGGATAGCTCGATGGGACCTTATAGATCACACGAAACGCTTCATTGGGGTCTAAATGATTTCCGGAATCGACAGCATGCGCGAGAATGGCGCTGCTTATGCTCCTAGCCACGCCGGCAGGTTTTGCCGTATTCTATTGGATAAGCGCCGACTCGTACGACCGATATAACCTGCTCCACAGGAGCAAGTCAAGGAATAGATGCACATTGAAGTGGTCTGGGGTGGCAACCTATCCTTACCTTCTCCGCGTAAAATAGGCTTAGTAGAGAAGGATACTTGAACACTTGCCGCTGTGAAGGTTCGGGAAACAGCTTGATCAAGGCGCCTCTATAGAGACTGGATAGAAAAGAAACGCCACATGCCTAAGAAATCAACGATAGACATCTGAGGAACGCTAGAGGCAACCGGGAGGGGGGGGGGTACAGGGAAGTTATAATAAAGAGAGAAAACCTCACTTAGCACCCGTTGCCAGGATTGAAAAGCGTTGAGACGCACGAAAAACGGCTCTACCACCCACATCGAAGGTTCTCCCACGCCCAAAATGAAGAATACCGCCCGTTTATAAGTACAGATCTCAAGCACCACCATGGACCTCAGTGTCATGTGCTAACTCATGAAATTTTGGCCGGAATTCTGAGATGCGTTTTCGTCTCGAAAGTGTTACTTAAGTAGGGTTGTAGTATTAATTACCACGCAGCATAATCTCGTGATACTTCGATTACATCAGGATGCCGGTTTTTGAACGAACTTCTTTCCGGCCGCCTGCAAAACCTATACTCTGCAGAAATGACTACTTAAGTAACATGAATTCCTCTCATTTATTTTCAATGTCCTCATAAATTCAAACATATCTCATGGAGACCAAGCATAAACACACTCAGTCTTTTACTCATTTGGTAGAAAATTACGTCGTCATCAAATTTTATACTTTAGGGAAGGGTATAATTTGGCTTTAAAAAGTTTCTAATTATGAGATATTAAAAACCGTCTCTGCGTCTCTGCATTTACCGATGTTGCTTGTAAAGGTTGCAATATGGTTTAAATCCAATGCCTAATGTTATGAAGCCCTTATAGTCTCCTCTTAATGCCGTAGAGAAATGTACGATTTTTCGTACACGGAAAATATACAGTCTGTAGTTTGGAAACCATGATTGCTAATATAACGGCAGGCCGGAGTCAAGATTATTCGGGAATTGGAAGGGGTAAGGGTTGGTGAAGAAGAAGAGTCGAGCAACAAACACTTTGTTTATTGTCCTGAGCTTTCAGACTCGTGCGGGGGTTTATCGTCAAAGGTAGTAGCAGCAACAGAACCAGCGACAGTTATAAGGCATGTAGGCCAATCATCGACGAACGGCGCAAGACTGGAGGTGACTACGCAGAGCTCTGTACGCCGGCACCAGATCGATAAATCGATTGACGGAGTTCTCATCCGAGACCCAGGCATAAATCAATTCTCGGCCTGCTTTGTTTCTGGCGTGGGCGACTATTTTGGTGGCTGCGAAGTTGAACTCGTGACCGATTTCGTAGGTGTGGGCGGCCACTTGTGATAATGCGTCGCCTCGTCGCACAGCCAGCTTATGTTCGTGTATGCGCGATCCGAGCATGCGCCCAGTCTGCCCTGTGTAGTTACAAGGACAATTTTGACACTTGATGCGATGCACTACTCCAGACTGCTCTTCAGGCTTTAACCGGTCTTCGATTTTCATGATCCTATTGCGCATGGTGGCTTTGGGGCGGTGTGCAATTACAACACCTAGCTCCGCAGCAATGCGCTCGACTCTTCTTCTTCACTTATGCATACACCTGGAACTCGAAATTTCGCCTTCATTCGGGGTAAGGATAGGGTATGTAAACCCTTGGGTGGTTTTTCAAAAATTTGCCTACTAATCTTATCTAGGTAGGTGTAGTGCGACCCCGAGGCACAAGGAGACGAATGAGTCCCGTAGCGCGATCGGTGAGCGTCCCTCTATCCTTGTCTATACGCGATCGCAACCGACAGTACAACGAGCCCGTGGCTCAGTGGTTAGAGGCGTTGGACTTCTAACCAACAAGTTGCGGAATTGAGCCCTAGGATTTACACATCTGGTGGCTAACGACAACTAATAAGCCAGAAATGACCATTCCAGTCTCTACTGTTTTTGTTGGCAACACTATTCTGGGGTTCACAACGGTTTGCCTGACAAAAGGTCGGC